CCAAGACCAAAAATATTCAAAGACTTTCAAAGATTTTTTCTGCCTATTTTCAAAGAATTTTCAAAGACCTTTGAGAGCAATCGGCTGTCGAAAAATTGCGATTGTGTAAGCACCATTTTTGCCCAGTAATTAGTCCCGCCACATCACATCTAAAAATGTACCTTTTCGTCGATATTTGCGAAAACCTTGCTTGCTCTTCAATCAATCTATTTTATTAGCTAGGAAATTGTATAATCAAATACTCACTAAAGAATTAATTTTAAAGACTTTTAAAGACTTTCTTCGCTTTTTCACACAATTCAAAGACCTTAAAGACCTGCATTCAAATTTAAAGACTTTCAAGGATTTCAAAGACCGCTACGAACCCTGATACCTTATTAAACAATAATAATCTAAATAACATCATAATACATTGGTATGCGTTTTAAAAGTTTTCAACTTAGTTCTTTATTTCAACCTGCTCCGTTTTTAGATCCAAACGTGGCTGGACTTTCTCTGTTTCGTTCTTGGGAGGAGTGACTCCTACTAATTGCTGCTGAATAAGCTCTTGTTTTGGACCGCTTTGCTCTGTTTTGAGGGGGAATTTTCGCACTACGGACCAGGGCCTATTCTAAGGAAATTTCAATACTGCACACTTCAGAGCAGGTGTCATCAATGACGTCACCCTGTGACGTCATCTTTGAATTGTTATGTTTTTATGTAGAACATAATGACAACATACAGGGTGTCCCAAAGTAAACATTTCAAATTCAAATCAGCCAGAACTTATTGTAGTAATTCACTGATGCGGCTCAAATAACAACCTCGTTCCCAGGCTCTTCCCTCTTGTGGAGGAAAGAAGTACACCGGCTTTTTTGGACATAAAATATCGATTATTGCAATTATTACTGGAACTTGGCATATATTTGGCCAATCTTTGTTTGTGCCTTTGCTCATTTTGTTGCAAAGGTATTTTGGAATTCTTGACTTTATATTTCATCTACTTCGCTCCTTCTCACATCTAATACAAAGTTGAAATTTATTTCAAACTTCAAATTTCAATACTGCACACTTTTGCACTCAATACTTCAACTTTTTATTCAATACTGCACAAAGTGTACAATACTGCACACTAAAATAGGCCCTGGTACGGACGCTTCTTCTGTCCGGTATCTGCTGTCTTCGTTTCTTCTGCTTGTCGCCACTGCTGTTAGTTGTTGTGGTAGCGACCTGTTCTCGTTTTTGGTTCGCTTGCTTTTGTTTTCTTTGATGCTCGATTTCTTTATCTTCGGCGAAGAATTGTTGCACGTTGCTTAACATCTGTTGATGTTGCTGATTTCTGAACATTTGTTGCTGTTCTGGTGGTTGTATTGGTTGCTGAGGTCTGGGTAAGGGCTGAAACTGGTACGCTGCCATTTGGGATTGGGCAGCACCGACTGGATTAAAAGCCCTTCGACTTGGCATCGGATGAACAGTTTTAAATCGAGGTTGCGGATTCAACTGCTTTTGTTTTTAGGGTACTTAGATGGTACCCGACTTTTT